ACTGAGTAGAATTATAAGTTGCCTGAGGATTTCCCATGTAACCTTGTTCTTGCACAGAAGTCCTGTAAAATAGATGAAATCAAACTGTAGTAAAAGCAGGTTGCAAACCAGGAAACAGGCTGAGGCCTACTCTCTATATATGTAATTATATCCTGACATACCAAGTAACTGAACTTGGCAATCTCTTCACACCCTCTTCCAAAGATAAAAGTTTGTTAGCTGAGGAGACAAATTTGATAAATCTCAAAGCAAGAAAGGATGAATTTACATTTTGTCAGGTTTACATTCAATTCCAGAAGAAAATCCCATAGAGATTTTCTGTTTATTTGGGTTTAATGAGAAGCAGTTTTTTTGAACAAGATTTTCTTTCTTCCCATCTCCTTCAAGTCATTTATTTCAGTTTTCTACGTGTTAGATTGCTGACTGTAAGCACTGCTGAATTTCTTACATGATAGCAGCAACTAAAATTCAAAACATGTTTCCTCGTAAAATGCTTTAGGATTTAAAAGATAATCAGGCCATAAGATGTTGGAGCATAAATAGGCCATTCAGCCCATCGAGTCTTCTCTACCATTCATTGAAATCATGGCTGAACTGATAATCCTCGGCTCCAGTTTCCTGTCTTTTCCACATAACCCTTGATTGCCTTACTGACTAAACAACTGTTCTGAAGAGGTGTCATTACCTTTGTTTCTCTCTCCACAGATACTACCAGACCTGCTCAGTTTTTCCAGTATTTTGTGTTTTACAGCATCCGCAGTTCTTTGTGCTTTTCCGATTAAACATCTCTCTCAGCCTTGCATATACTAAACAACTCAGCTTCAACAGCCCTCTGAGGTGATGAATTTCACAAATTCACTACCCTCTGAAAGAAGAAATTCCTTCTTAGCTCTGTCTTAAATGGGCGACCCCTTATTCTGAGATTACACCCTCTGGTCATAGACTTTCTCACCCTGGGAAACAACTTTTCCACATCTCCTCTGTCAAGTCTCCTTAAGAATCTTGCATGTTTCAATAAGGTTGCCTGTTATTTTTCTAAACTCCAATGACTATAGGCCCAACCTACTCAAAATCAGTTCCTCCAAACTTGGGATCATCCCGACGAACCTTCTCTGGACTGCCTCCAATGCCAGTATATCCTTCCTCCAGAAGGGGTTAAAACTTTCCGGTGTTCTAGTTGTTCTATAACAAGTGCCTTGTAGTGTTTTCAAAAGACTTCCCTACTTTTATCCTCTATCCCCTTAGAAATAAAGGCCTGCATTTCATTTGCATTCCCTATTTCCAGGGATCATGAAAGGGGCTGTATAATTGCAAGTCTTTTAATCTTGCTGGGATTGGTTCAATGTTTTGGACATTGTTAATTTAATTCAAGGCACTAGTGCTTCATAAAAAAAACCAATCCATGTCTTTACATTGTTCTCAAAATAATTTTGACTAATAATAACAATGTCAAGGTACCTTGCACTCAAATCCTCTTCAATGTGCATCTCCTAGGAGAATAGAGGAAAATTATTACCAAGCAACTTTTATCATGGATAACTTTGTCATTCCTGACAGGTTGCCATGGTAACACAGTCAGATGTTATTGCATGTAGAATGAAGCCTGACGGATAGTAAACAGGACAGGAATTTTGGGACCCTCCAAGGCTGGGAATGGAAGTGGGTAGGACCCAAAAGACTGGCACGTGCTGGCATGGTGGTTTCCTGACCCCGTATCCAATAGCGACCATTCTGACTGAGGTGGCCTTGGCTTTGTCAAGGTGCTGGCCTCTACAGGATTTTCCATCGCTTGCTGGTTTTCTGGCACATTGCGAAGGAGAAGGGGAGATGGGGGAGTTTAATTGCCTGGAGGTGGACTTCTGCCAGCATGCCTATGTGCTATTGCTTCAGGTAAGTCCACAAGTCCTCCCAGCCTGACCACAAGAGGGTGCAGCCAAAGGCCACTATATTGAGGAATTCCTTGTTCACCCCATGACTTCTTGCATCCTGCCAGCTACATACCCTATATCACAGCTGGCTGCTTCTCTCAGGCTGGGTGGTCTCGTGTTGATCCCTTTCAAGCCCAACTGCTGACCCTGAATGGATGGGGGATGATCCTTTCTGACCAAAAGGGTGTCCCAATCAAGATTCTACCCTGTGACAGTCACCCCTCTCTGCCCCCCCAACAGCCCCGATGCTACAATCCTCGGGGGTGGGTTGAAGACCCAGTAACACTCCCGCCTCCTCTTTCTTGACTCCAACGTGAAAATGCAGCCCCAGCTGTGGGAGATCTCCCTGGGCTGGTGAGGGCAAGGGATGGGATCATCGGACAGGAAATTTCTATAATGCTGCTCCCCGTTACTGTCCCTGACTAGTCTCTGTCAAATTGTCTCTCCCAAGGGAGTAAATAGCTGCTGCAGTTGGTGAGGGGAGTGGACGAGAGGGAGAATTGGGAGGCAGGAGAGGGGATTGCATGATAATTAAGAGGTATGAGTCACCAGTCATCACAAATGATGGAGTCTTAGTGGATTAACAGGCCCATGCCTACTTGTGAGTGTGGGTGTAATTTCTTTTGTATTGTTTGCTACAGCCCAGCTTGTTAAAGTCTGATGCGGTCATATACAGACAGTCAGTCAGGACTATTACCATATATGGGCACAGCTGAGGCATGTTCAAAACACAAGGGATATTTCAATGTTACTTAATATTATTTTTGTAGCACTTTCAGTTTCAAGAAACTAAATTTAATGTTCTCAGAGATAATTAAACACCAGTAAGTCTGAACCTGCACATTGATAGATTTGCAGTATCATATTTGAGGATGGGTTAGCGAGACAGATTTTGGTACAATATTGGAAGGTACAATATTGGTACAATACAATTTAATACAACATTGGAAGATCAACACAAGTAAGACACAGGCTAGCATGATAGTTATGGATATTTGATATTTGTGGAATACTTCATATATCGGAGACCAGTGCCTCCCAAATGTTTTTCCAGTGTGACCCATTTTTTTAAGGCTTGGAAATCCTCATGACCCCTTAGTGAGAATTGTGGGTGTGGTGTGAGGGGCTGGAAGATCTGAGACCAAGGGATGAGGGAAAGATAAGCTGTGGAAGTACATTAGCAGATCTACAAGGCAGCCATCGCTGTGGAATTTCAACCATTGGCCTCACTTGAAGTCCTGATCCTAACTTTAGGAATCTCTGTTGTCGACTGTGGATGATATTGAGACTGTGGAAAAAGGTTCAGAGGAGGATCATCGGATTAATCCCCAGGAGAAGCCCCCAGCTGAAAGAGTCAGGCTTCTATAGTTTAGAGAAACACTTGGTAGTGATTTGATTAACAGATGGTGAAAGGGGAATGTGTTTATTTCGATAAAATGTTTCCATTGCATACAGTAGGAAAGTTCACAATCTCGAGATATGCCAGGCCAGAAATCGATTCAATGTTAACTGTAGACGTTAAGAGTTAGTCCTCTTTCCAAATGGTAGTGATCTGAGGAGAACAGCAATACATGCACAAAACTTCTTCAAGCAAGAGCTGCCGGAGGATGTGACAAGAGTATAACAAACAGAACCAGGAACAGGTCATCAGGCCCCTCATTCTGACTATGCCATTCAGTTCAAACATTGCTGACCTTTCATCTCAGCTCCATTTTACTGTTCAGTCCCATACGCCTTGATTCTCTGAGACCGACCAACAATATATTGCTCTTAGTACACAGCTGTAGTGAATGGAATGAGATTGGCCGGGTGGATCTCAATGAGTATGAGTTGCCTGATTGGGTCTGTTAACCTGGGACCGATCAAGGAGTCCTGGCTGACAGATATAACAGGAGTATCAGGGATTCTCCTCACTCTAGGGACTGGCTCTGAGCTGGTTGGTCAGAGTCCATGTATAGTGCACGTGTAAATAAAGGGTAACTTGATGATGGAATACCAGTCTCTGTGGAGTTATTTCAGCAGCAATGGAGCATTCTCAACCCACTGAGGTCCACAATACCAATGATCAATTTACACTATTTTTAGATAGTACATCACATTTTTCAGGGCCGGAGGGAGCACCAGGACTAGTTTTTGACTGTCTGATGTGAGTTGGGAGGGTGGAGGGGATGTGTGTTAAAGGACCTTTACAGCCTTTCCCTTGTAAGTCACCTGTTTTATTTAAAATCTTGTTTCTCACCTTGCTAAGAAGATTTCCCAAGTTTGATTAGGAGTGGCTGCTTCATGATGCATAGGCAGCATAAACTCATCGAAAACACCAATAAATCGTGGGTTTTTTTGTGTTTTGGCTTGATCATAAGAAATTATAACAGTTTTCAATGTCCACAACATTTAAAAACTCATTCAAGTGGATTTGCTCTCAACAAGTGTAATTTTCAGAAATGTATCAGAGATAGTAGGAACTGCAGATGCTGGAGAATCTGAGATAACAAGGTGTAGAGCTGGATGAACACAGCAGGCCAAGCAGCATCATAGGAGCAGGAAGTTTT